TGACTGCTTCCTGGTCCAATTATAGGTTTCACAGAACACAATCAAGTGTCTGGGATTCCCATTCTTCTCCAGGTTAGCCACAATTTGTTATGATCAACACATTGAAATGACTTTTCATAGTGAGTGAAACACAGATATTCCTCTAGTACTCATTGTTTTCTGCCAAGATCTGACATTGGTAATAATGTCTCTAGTGCCAGGGCCTTTTCTAAACTAGCTTGTATTTCTAGTAGTTCTCTGCTGATGTATTCTTCCAGTCATTTTTAGATAATCTTCTGCAGGATTTTGCTTGCATGTGATATTAGATATTGTTCAATAATTTTCACTTTCCTTTGGGTCACCCTTTTTTTCAAATGGGAATAATATGGATCTCTTTCAGCAGCTGGCCAGGTAGTTACCTTCCAGATTTCTTGGCACAACCTGGTGAGCATGTCCAGGGGAGAATCTGTTTGTTGAAATATGTCAGTTGGCATTCCATCAATTCCTGGGGCCTTATTTTTTGCCAAGTCCTTCAGAGCAGCCTGAACTTCTTCCTTCATCACCGTTGCTTCTTGATTGTATGTTGTTTCAAGAAATTCTTCTGTGTCAGCAAGTTCTTTTTGGTACAGAGTCTATGCACTCCCTCCATCTTTTTTTATGCTTCCTATATTATTCCATATTTTGCCCACAGCTTCCTTAAGTACTTGCAACTTGAGGCTTGAATTTCTTCTTTAGTTCCTTCAACTTAAAAAATGCTGAGCAAGTTAAACTCTTTGAATTTCTAGCTCTTTGTATATTTCATTATAATATGTTGTCTTCCTGAGCCACCCTTTGAAATCTTCTATTCAGCTCCTTAACGTCTTTCTTTCTTCCCTTTGCTTTGGCTTCTTGACATTCTAGTGCTATACTTAGAATCTCTTCTGACATCCATCACAGTATTTTCTTCATCTTTGTAATGTCTCTTCCTCTTTTTAAGGTCTTTGTAATGACTTTTTTTGCATTCTTTGTGGATGATATTCTTGATATCCTCCCACAGCTCTTCTCGTCTTTATTAATTAGTGGTTCAAGAACTCAAATATGTTTCTGAGATGATTTTTAAATTCGTGTGGAATAGACTCAAGGTCAAGATTCTCACCATTGTGTCAACTGGAAGCACCATGATAGATGGAGAAGAGATTAAGGATCCTAACCATTTCCACTTGCTTGGGTCCACAAACAACACTAATGGCACCAGCAGCCAGGAAATCCAAAGACAAATTGCACTGGTAAAATCTGCTGTCAAGGACCTCTCCAGAGGGCTAAAGCATAATTTTAGTCTAGGAACTAAGATGTGCCTGATATAGGCCATGGTTTAAGTAATTAACTTGCTATGCATCAGAGAGCTGGATAATTACTAAGGATGACAGAAGAATTGATGCCTTTGAGTTGTGGTGCTGGAACAAAGTATTGAACATACCATGGACTGTCAAGTGCACAATCAAGTCTGTCTTGGAGTTGGTGAAACCAAATTTCTCCTTGGAGACAAGGATTTTGAAGCTCTGTCTCATATACTTCAGATGTGCTCAAGAGGGACCAGTATCTGGGGAAGGATATCAGGCTCATAAGGGCGTATGGAAAATGGGTGGATGGACAATGCAGGAAAGGAAGATTCCAGATGATATGAATTTACACAATAACTGGGGAGATGGGGGTAGGTGTGCTACAGTCCGTAAGAATGGTTCCGTTTGGGCAGATTTCAGATCTTTTGCACATAGCGTTGCTATGAGTCGCAGATGACTCAACGGCACATAGTAACAACAACAATAACAACATATACTTACTATCTCATCCTAGTCTAGAAACCCCAATAAAATGTGTTCAACATGGAGGAATCACATAAAAATACCATCAATAACATTAAAAGCTTATTGCTGTTATGTCAAGACTATCAATCCCTGTAAGATGAATTATTGGTATACCAATTGACATTTTGCAACTAACAGATGCACCCTGGATGTGCTCAGTAGTCTATGCCAGGAAATTTGGGACTGTGATGCTGAAGAAGAGTACTGAATATCCCATGGACTGCCAAAAGAACAAACAGGTATGTCTTGGAGAAGGTGCACTCAGAGGGCTTCTTTGAGTCAAAGGTGATAAAACTTCTCACATATTTTAGGCATGTTGCTAGGAGAGGCTATCCCTTAGAGAGGGACCTAACGTGAAAGGTAGAGGGTTGGCAAAAGAGAGGAAAATCCTCAACAATAGGGATTGACACAGTGACTCCAGCAATGGGCTCAGGTTATCAGAGATCATGAGCATGGCACAGGATAGGACAGGTTTAATATCTGTTGTCAAAGGTCACTATGGGTTGAACATTACTTGACAGAACCTAACAACAACAACAACATATATTCACTGCTATGGGAAAGCACACTTTCTTCTGACAGCTGAGTATTAGTGCATTAAATTTGCAATCTGTTTCTATTTTCCCTTCTTTTTGGGAACAGGAAGTAATTCTTATTGTCTCTATTTCCTGTAATAGTTATTGCTACCATTAATCTTCTCAATGAGTTTTTCAGAACAGGATAAATCTACCTCCAATGACTCAAAAAAATGTAGACAAGTTAAAAATTATGGCATTTTAATCTGAGTTGCTCTCTTTAATTTTTTTAGGTAAACACTTTAAGATAACAGCCTCATAAGAGCTAAGTGGAGCTATGGAAAGAGAAATTTTAAAATTCCAATAATAAATGAATGTCACTATGGAAATGTTCAAAGTTCATGTTTTCAAAATATATAACACAGTAGGCACAGAAAGGTGCTTGATAAATATTATTTGAGGATCTGTTAAAGCATGCCCAGAATCTGAAATCTGTCGTGTATGGGTGCACCAACTCGGGCCTGCCATTCTCAATCTAGACTCTCCTTCTTTTCGGGCTTGTTTGAACAGTCCATAGAGTTATGTTTGATGAGAGAGAAATGTATTTTGTTTCTCCTGAGAGGCATCAGTCAACACTACTAATAACAGATCCTAATTTTGAAATGTTGTTGTTGCTGTTGTTTAGTGCCATAACGTCGCAGGCGACTCATAGCGACCCTATGAAGGAGAATCCTCAACGCTTGTGTGTCTTTCATACGCTCTCCAGGTTCATAGGGTTTCCGGAGGCAAGCTATTATGGAAATGGATGCCACTCTTCACTTTGGACTAAGAACATGAATAAATTAATAATTTCATGTGGTTCTAAATTCCTGAAATAAAATTTTAGTTATTTAGTACCGATTAAGCACTTGTATTATGGCAGGAATTGACAAAACACCCTTACAAGCATTCATACGTAGTATTCCCTTTAAGAATTTCTGTAACAAGATATCACAATCTGGAGAAATTGATTGGCTCACTGCTCTGGTGGTCTAGACATCAGCAGGACAGTACTTTTTTCCTGTTAACATCAAGGGACAAAAATCCCTTGTATTCTACATGTTGGAGCTCCTGCTGATTCTTGGTGTGTTTTTGTTTGTCGATGCATCATCACGTGGTTTTGCTTCCTGCAATACGTCTCTTCTTTTTACAAGAACACAATTCAGTTGGAGTTAGAATTCAGCCTTCTTCAGTATGGCCACATGTTAAATGATAACATTTTAAAGACTCCACTTCTAGACAAGATCACAGTCACAGATGTGGGGGAGAGGACACAATTCAAACCATAACATGCAATATTTACTTTAAAAATACTTGCTGGATTTCTGTTTTGTATTAGACATGCTCTTATTTATGTATTACTCTAACTCCATGGGAGCTTTTGTGGCCCAGTAGTAAGAAGCTATGATGCCAACTGTAAGGCATATGGTTTGAATCTATCAGGTGTTACATGGGAGGAAGATGGGAAATCTCTGTGCAATGTTAAGTGTTTGAAAACCCCTGGAGGAACAGCTATGAGTCAGTTCCAACTTGACAGAACAATAGCAACAACAACAACATAATTCCATGAGTTATAATAAAAACACAAATGCCAAAATAGTGCATTTCTATATCTCACCTGAATTTGGAGATCATCTCAAGAGTACATGGATACACTGAACACTGATGATTAAAGAACAGGCCAGTTGTGGATAACATCAAGGACAACACACACAAATAAAGGGTTGTTAGAAAGACAGGAAAGAAATATAAGAGCAAAATGAATGTCAGAAGAAACTCAAATTTACTCTTGAATGGAGAGAAGTAAAGCAAGGAGAAATGATGAAATAAAAGTGAAACATAAGCCTTTAGACAGCAAAATGAAATATTATAAAGAAATGTGAAAAGATCTAAAGTTAGAAAACCAAAAGGGAAGCATACACTTGGTTGTTCTCAAGCTTAAATAACTGAATAGGAAAAAAAGCAAAAAAACAACAAAAACCTGAAAGATGATAGAAGGTTTATAGAGTCACTACACCAAAAAGAATTGACACTGAATCATTTCAGGAAGTAGCATAACCAAAATCGAATGGTACTGCAAAAAGAAATTCAAGCTGCACTGAAGGTGTTGGCAAGAATATAAGCTTCCAAGAACTGAAAGAATACCAACTGATGTTTTTCAACAAAAAATTATAGCCATGGACATGTTTGTTAGCCTATGCCAAGAAATTTAGCAAGCAGGTACCTACCTGTCCAACTGACTAAGAGAGATTCATATCTGTGCTTATATATATTTTTTTTAAATGTCATCTAAAAGAATGTGGAAATTATTGAAAATAATCAACTCAACTTAAATATCATCATCTCATTACCACCGAGTTCACACCCACTCATAGATGACCCTCCAGTGAGTTTCTGTGGCTGTACATTACATGAAGGAGATTGCCTGTCATTCCCTTAAAGAACATCCGGTAGATTTGAACTATTGGAGAGGCTCAGCCTTTGAGTTAACAGTATGTCACCCTATGGATGTGGCTTCTCTCATGTTATATAAACATAAAATTTTGCTGAAGATAATATAAACTTACGGCTATTTTAAAATTATCTTCAGCAAGATTTTTACTTTATCACTGACAAGGAACTACTAGAAATTCAAGCTGGATTCAGAAGAAACCATAGAATGAGGTGTTTCATAATTGGTGTCAGATGGCTCTTGGCTGAAAGCAAAAGAGTATCAGAAAGATGTTTACATGGGACACTTTTGTTTTTACTATAAATAAAACATTCAACTGTATGTATTATAAAACCTTATGAATAACAGTGAGAATAATGAAAGCTCCAGAACTCTTAAGTGTGCTCAAGTGAAAACTGTACATAGGGACCATGGAGCAATAGTTTGAGAAGAACAAAGGGATGCTCGTATGGTTTAAAATCAGGAGAGTTATGTGCCAGGGTTAAGTCCTTTTATCTATTCATTTTGTATGCTAAGCAAATAATCGGAGAAGTCAGAATATATAAAGAAGAATGTGGCATGAGAATTGGAGGAAGACTTAACGAACAACTGCTGATGTGCCTGCTTGCTTAAATGACGAATACTTGAAACACAGGTTGAAGAAGATCAAAGTCGTCAATATAGGTTACTCTTCAATATAAATAAAATTAAATCCTCACAGTTGGATCAATTAGCAACATTACCAATCAATGGACATAAATCAAAGTTATCAATAATTTTATTTTACTTAGATGTTTAATCAAAATACACAGAAGCAGCAGTAACATACTGATGTGGGCAAATTGACTGCCAAGAACCTGTTAAAAGTATTAAAGAGCAAGGGTATCAATATAAAGGTTAAGAATACCTGGCCAGCTTCTTCTTCTCTGAGAAAACACCAAATGGCTGATGACGCTGGTGCAGCGGTAGGGCCTGGAGGCCCTGGGGGCCCTGGGATGAGAGACCTCGGTGGTTTCGGCGGAGGCTTCGGTCGTGGTCTGCGGGTCGGACCGCGGCTGTGGACGGGGCCGTGGGAGGGGTCGCGGAGCTCGAGGAGGCAAAGCCGAGGACAAGGAGCAGCTCCCTCTCACCAAACTGGGCCACCTGGTGAAAGATATGAAGATTAAATCATTGGAGGAGATTTATCTCTTCTCCCTGCCCATCAAGGAATCTGAGATCATCGACTTCTTCCTGGGCATGTCCCTCAAGGATGAAGTATTGAAAATCATGCCAGTGCAGAAGCAGACACGTGCTGGCCAGCGGACCAGGTTCCAGGCCTTTGTCGCCATTGGAGACTATACTGGCCATGTTGGCTTGGGCGTCAAGTGCTCCAAGGAGGTGGCTACTGCTATCCGTGGGGCCATCATCCTAGCCAAGCTCTCCATTGTCCCTGTGCGGCGTGGCTACTGGGGGAACAAGATTGGCAAGCCTCACACCGTTCCCTGCAAGGAGACTGGGTGCTGTGGCTCTGTGTTGGTGCGTCTGATCCCTGCACCCCGAGGCACTGGAATCGTCTGGGCCCCTGTGCCTAAGAAGCTGTTGATGATGGCTGTAATTGATGACTGTTACACCTCAGCCAGGGGCTGCACAGCTACCCTGGGCAACTTTGCTAAGGCTACCTTTGTGCCATCTCAAAGACCTACAGCTATCTGACCCCAGATCTCTGGAAAGAGACGGTGTTCACGAAGTCTTGTAAAGACTCACACCAGAGTCTCCGTGCAGTGGACTCAGGCTCCAGCTGTGGCCACCACATAGTGGATTTTCTGTAACAAATAAAGTGAATTATGTTCTAAAAAAAAAAAAGAATACCTGGCCAAAGTCATAGCATTTGTTTCATGAGCATCTGAAAGTTAGAACATGAGTAGAGATGGCAAAGGAATTGATGCTTCTGAGCTGTGCTGGCAAAGAATATTGAATATAACATGAACTACCAATAGGGAGGGGAAAAAAGTCTATCTTAGAAAATGTGCAGCCAGTGTGATCCTTAGAAGCAAGAAGAGTGAGATGTCGTCTCATGTACTTTGGGAGTGTTATACGGAGGGGCCAGTCCCTAGAGAAAGACATCATGCTTTGAAAGATAAAGAGAAAAAAATGGAAAAAAGATCCTCAGGAAGATCGATTAACTCTGTGACTATGACAATGTACTTGAGCACAGCAGACAATGCAAGAATGGGGCAGAATTGACCAGGATCTTGGTCCTTGAATACAGAGTTGCTGTGATTTGGAGCCCACTCAACTGCATCTAATAACAACTAATATAACTACATAGAATAAGAACTCCAGTTATTCTCATTATGCACGGGGGCAACAGATTTTCAAACTAATGATACTTACAGCAGTCATATGATTAAAAAGTGGCAGAATCATGATCTAGAGCTCAGAATCTAAGGTGCTAAGTCATATGTCTTTGTGCTTCCTACAAGACACACATCTGAGATTATAAAGGTAAGTGCTAATGTATAATGACTTTGTTCCATAGAAAGAGCACAGAGATGAATTAAGTGAAGGTGAAGTAATTTCACTTTAAAAAAAGACATGGAAAGAATTGTCACAGAGGAAGATATTTGAATGGCAAAACAGACACATGAAGAAATGCTCCAAATCACTGGCAATAAGACAGATGCAAATCAAAATCACAATGAGGTACCATCTCCAGTAGCAGTGGCAAGGTTTAACAAGGCAGCAAGCAAAAAATGTTGGAGAGGATGTGGCGAAAAAGAAACATTATTACATTGTTGGTGGGATTGTAAAATGGTGCAGCTATTCTAGAATGCAGTTTGGTGCTTCCTCAAAAAGCTGAAAATAGAAATTCCATATGACCCAGATATTCCACTAAATGTTCATGTCAAAACTTGAAATATGTCTCGTTATGTGCCATCGAGTCACTTGCGACTCATAGTGACCCTAAGTACAACAGCCCTAAAACTTGCTCTGTCCTTTGCCAATCGTACTGCCTCTGACACTCTCATTCAGATTACCCCAGTCACTGAATCAATCCACCTCATAGAGGGTCTTCCCCTCCTGCGCTATCCCTCCAACCTCCCAAGCATGGTGTCCCTCTCCAAGGACCTGTCCCTCCTTACAGCATGTCCAAAGTATGTCAGATGAAGCCCCAGAATCCTTGCCTCCAAGGAGCAGCCTGGTTTAATCTTCTCTACGATGAATCTGTTTGTTTTCTTGGCAGTCCATGGTACCCTCAATACTCTTCTCCAGCACCACAGCTCAAAGGCATCAATTCTCCTTCTATCCTCCCTAGTCATTGACCAACTCTCTGACACATAGCAAGTGATTGCAAAGACCATAGTCTGTATTAGATACACTACTTAGTCTCCAGAGTGACACCATTGCTCTTCAGTACCCTGGTGAGGTCCCTAACAGCAGACTTTCCCATCACAATACATTTTTTATTTCCTGGCTGCTGGTGCCAAGAGTGTTGACCGTGGAGCCAAGCAAACTAAAGTTGTTAACAATCTCAATCTCTTCGCCAACCACCCTGATACTGAGTCACTGTATCTAAAGGAATTGGCAAACACAGAAGAATTTAATGAAACAACATATGAGCAAGAGCCTATGGTGATGAAGGAAGAAGTTCAAGCTGCTTTGAAAGAAATAGCAAAAAACAAGGCCCCAGGAATAGATGGTATACCAATTGACGTATTTCATCTAAGCAATCCTGCCCTGGACGTGCTCACCAAGTTGTGCCAAGAAATCTGGAGAACAACCACTTGGCCAATTGACTGGAAGAGATCTATATTTGTTCCCATTCCAAAGAAGGGTGACCCAACTGAATATGGATACTAAAGAACAATATCATTGATTTCACATGCAAGCAATATTCTACTGAAGATTATCCAAAAGCTACTGGCAAAGTACATCAGCAGAGAACTGCCAGAAGTCCAGGCTGGGTTTAGAAGGGGTCGTGGAACTAGGGATATTGTAGCTGATGTTAGATGGATCTTAGCTGAAAGCAGAGAATATCAGAAGAATGTCTATCTGTGTTTCATTGATTATGCAAAGGCATTTGACTGTGTGGATCATAACAAACTGTGGCTGACTCTGAGAAGAACGGGAATCCCAGAACACTTGATCATTCTAATGTGAAACCTATACTTGCACCAAGAGGCAGTCATCAGAACAGATCATGGTTCAAAATTGGGAGGGGTGTATGCCAGGGATGTGTCCTATCTCTATACCTTTTCAACCTATATACAGAACAGATTGACTGAGAGGCTGGGCTCTATGAGGAGAAGTGTGGCGTCAGGATTGGTGGAAGATCCATTAACAAACTGCGTTATGCAGATGACACAACCCTGCTTGCTGAAACTGAGAAGGACCTGATGCACTTGCTGCAGAGGGTCAAGGACTGCAGTCTTCAGTATGGATTGAGGCTCAATGTCAAGAAGACAAAGATTCTCACCACTGGACCAATTGGCAGAGTCAGGATGGAACTTGGAATATACCCTGAGAAAAGAACTGAAGCACAAAATGAGATTTGTACACCAACGTTCATAGCAGCCTTATTCACCATCACAAGAACACGGAAACAGACTAGATGTCCAACCAAAAATGAATGGATTGAGAGATTCTTGTACGTTCACACAATGGAATACTATGCAGCACATAGGAGCAATGATTTTGTAAATTATCACCTAACTTAGGAGAGACTGTAGAGCATTATGCTGAGTGAACTAACTCAGTCCCACAAGGATAAATATCGTATAAAAAGCATTATTGTAGAATAAGTATAAGGATCCAAGGGGGGTGGCAGAGGGTGGAAGCAGAGGGATGAAAATGTGCAGGGAGAGGCTGAGATTAATCATGAGGTTGTACAATTTGATCGAGGCAGGGTGAGGGAAATGAAAAGAATTTATTTTTAAAGGCAATGTAATTGAATTTTGTAAATAAACTAGTGGAAAATTTTTTTTTTAATTATAAAATTTTGTCATGAGGAAATGCATTTTCAAAGCTCATTTACTTCTCTCTTTCCTAGTTTAAAGAAGCTCTGATGGCCTAGTGATTAGGGAGTTTCACCATCAACCCAAACACGGGTGGTTAAAATTCACTAGCTGCTTCTTGGGAGAAAGATGGACAATCTCCTCCCATGCAATTTACAGCCTCTGAGAATCCACTGGAAGGTTAGCCATGAATCAGTTCTGACTTGATGGCAATGAGTTTGAGGATCCAACCCCAAGAATAAGCTAGATTTGGCTTTTAACCTACACAGAGGCCCTTTGGAGAAAGGCCTGGCAGTGTACTTCTGTAAAGATTGGTGGTGTTGGTGGTGGTGCTGCTAGGTGTCCTTAAGTCAACTTTCAAATCATAACAACTCAAATGTGACTGTATATAAATTCTTGCTCTGTGGTTGTAACCTTTATCAAGTCCATCACCCATTCTTTGTCTTGTGGAACTGTTGAGTGAGTTTGAATTACTAATATTTTGATTAGCAGTCAAGCACTTAGCAATCACTCAACCAGGGCATACCCTACAAAGGTTATCTAGCCAAGCAAACTCTACAGAGAAGTTCTGTTATGTGTGAGGTTATTTCGAGTTGGAATCACACTGCTGGAAATCATTTTGGTTTTCTCCTAGCTGTGCCTTAACTTGGAGAGTGCTGGTAAGTGCTTATTCATTGCCTCTTTGAAAGGAAAGCTTGGTTTGCAGCACTTGCCTATTTTCATGGTGTAAATTCTCATCATGGTTGATTTCAGCATGACATCTCAGAGTTGGGAAGATATGAGATAATAATCAGTTCTTGTGAGCCGGTTCCAATATATCACTGTTTAAACCATTAATATGGGCTCTTAGAAGTTGAGACAAATTTTAGACAAAAACTATATTTAAAAAAATCCAGAGTGAAGAAGCAATTTTCCCTGCAAGATTATATGGTATTCGATCAAAAGTTATTGAGCTCTGGTGGTCTAGTGGTAAGGACTTGTACTGCCAACTCAAAGGCAAACAGCTTGAAGTCACCATCAACTCTTTAGGGAAAAAAGATAGTCACTCTCCTCCTCTGCAACTTATACCTTCTGAAACCCTCTGGAGCATCAGCTATGAGTTCATTCCAACTTGATGGCACATAACAATTCATACTTGCAAGACTTTAAGTAGTTTCTTGGGTTATGAGATGATCTCAAGATTCTGGGAGTAAAAGCAGCAAATTTCTCAAGGTCCAGAAGCCAGTGTTGCTAAATGATTTGCTGAATCATTTGTTTTATAGGCCAGTTAAAGTCTCTATCAGTAAGGAGGAACAAGGAATGAAAATATTCCTAGAAACTCATCCAGGAAATGCTTTAATATATGATGCATATTCAGAGTTCCCAATGAAAACTGAAGCTGGGAGAATTTCCACAGCACGGCTGGGTTGGCAAAAGATTGTCATATTGGGAAGAACCGCTCTCTGCAGCAGGTTTCATTTCTTGGTTCATAGGATGAATCAGGGCACAGCCTACTCTGAGATATTATTGGCACAGGAAATACTGACTCCGATATCATGGAATAATACCTGGGTGTAGAAATGGTCTGGGGAACTTAGTGAGCTGCATGAATCTCACCTAGCCTTCCCATTTACTCACCTCAATAAAAAACAAAAGTGCTTGTTTCTTACTTGGCTCAAACCAGACCAGACTGCTTTGGATGCTTGCCTTACTGACCCCAGAAAAAACCCTTTTATAACAGTATTCAATCTTTGCATTCCCTCTGGACATTATCAGCCTTGACACTTTCCATGATAGTGAAAGTAGATTGTTCCCTCCTTCAACAAAGTAACCACAAAACACTGAAAGTAAGTTTATTTATTAATACGTTAAAGATTTCAGAAAATCCATGGAATCTATACAAACCTATATTTAGGAGGTTTGCAACAAGAAAGGATTTCTTAGTGGTTTTCTCATAAGTGGATCATATTGGGAGAGAGTGGAGCCTAGAAGTTTCCAGTGGTCAAAACAAAGTCAGATGTCTTATTACATTTAGTGATAAGTAGTGAAGTAATAAGTAAGGATAAGTAGTTTTGCTTCAATTTAATATGGAGGACAATGTGGGTGGGTTTTGATGTACCAGTTTCCTTGGAGTTAGATCTAACTCATAAATATGAGGAGAATCGACCAATAACCCACATAGTTTTCATTGGCTAATTTTTTTGAAAGTAGACCATCTTCCTTTTTTTATTCATTTTAATGAAGATTTACAGAAATTTTGGATTTCCATCCACTCATTGTTCTACTTTTCTCCCTGCCCAACCACCCTCCCCAGTTCACTCTTATCTTTGAAAAGTAAAAGAAAAATTCCTTCATTGGTATACAATCC